TCTACTCTTGGAAAGATTCACTTGTACCCTTGTAAGACAAACCATAGAAGTGATCCCTCTAATCACCCTCCCTCCACCCATCCACCTCCTCCCCTGCCCTCCCCCTCCCCATGTTCTGGGCTATAATTACTCGCACAGAAAATTTGGAAACTTAGAATGTGTACAAGAGAATTTATCCTGTGTTTGTACATATTTATAGAAGTCTATACAACTTTGCGTTAGTATAGAGTAATAAAGGTTTATGAAACTTGAATGAAGAATGGGAGCTTTAATTGTACAAATTATTTTTGGATGTAGCATGTGTTTACATTGTATATATCTGGAATGTGCAGTGCTGTTTTTGATTATTGATCTCAGAGAAATAGGAATCAGCGAGGAATATTAATGTCACAACATTCCACTTGAGTAACCTACTTTTTTGTTGACAATAAATTCTTTAACCCATATCCCAGCATAACTTTGCCTCAGAGGTATTTGGGGTTCTTCATGACTAATGTATTTGATAACATGTATTATATGAAATATCTCGTTAAATATCATCATTTATATTCTCAAAAGATTTAACAGCTCTATGTAAGGCTATTAGCACATCATTCCCAGAAAGATAACTATTTCGAAAGTGCAAATTGGTTATTTATTCATCTATTAATAAAATCAATACATGATCATTGTAGAAACCTCCCAAAGCTACAAATAACAAGTAGATAACCCTCAATTCCTTCTCTTTCTACTGTTTAATTCTTTGTCACATCCTGATACAGGAAAAAGTTGAATCAAGAAACGGAAAAGCAAATTTTAAGAAATACCTGTAATATACAACAAACTAATGTTCAATTTCATTACCTAAACTTTTTATAACTCTATGCATATAGATAGTCTTTGATTTCTAAGTAATTGTCATTAGTAAGTCATTAGCATTTTTAATTGATGACAAACCATTGTTTCCCTGTTTCTTCCCCAGGGTCCCAGCCTGGGCAATCTTTGAGTTGTTGTAAAGTGAGATTTTGCGCTTCCTGCTTCCTGCTATTCTTAAGGAGGAAGGGTGATGTCCCTGTGAGTTTGGGGAAGCGACTGGGTGAATCAGCCGGCCCTTCTCTTTCCTTTGGGGTCTGCTTGCCAACACTACAGATGTCGTCCACACCTACAACCAGAGGCTGATGCTTCTGGCTTGGGGTCTCCTACCCCTGCTTTGCAGGCTGGTTTGGGCACCCATGTCTCTCTGTTTTCCCATACTCCAGCCCAGCTTCAGAAATTTTAAGCTCTTTTTTTTTGAGACACAAGTCTCACTCCATCACTCTGGATAGAGTGCTGTGGCAGCACAGCTCACAGAAACGTCCAACTCTTGAGCTTCAAGGATCCTCCTACCTCAGCCTCCTGAGTAGCTGGGACTATAGGGGTCCACCATCACTAATGGTTAATGGCTAATTTTTTTATTTATAGTAGAGGCAGGGTCTTGCTCTTGCTCAGGCTGCTTTCAAACTCCTAAGCTCAAGAGATCCACCTGCCTCGGCCTCCCAGAGTGCTGGGATTACAGGCAGGAGCCTCTGCGCCAGCCTATAAGGTCCTCTTTACCTTCTATCTGTATGATTTCTTCATCAAAACTCACTTGGTTGTGGCTTTGAGAGCGTTGAAGAGATGTGTATTACCATTAGATCTCAACAGCCATTAAGGTAAATACATATGTGAAAATAGCTTTAAGAGACAACTCAGGGAACCAAGTCAGTCAAGAAAATACAAGAAATGGGGGTGTGCACTTCTGATTTTATACCCTCACATTTGAATATGAAGTTTACACCACAGTGTTAGATCTTTAAACATCTTTACAGATGACACGGTATGCATGAATTTTGTTCTCCAGCATCTTGCTTACAATATAAGTGTTATAAGGAGTTAATGGGCTCACATGGCTGCCCTCTAGCACGTTGAAAACCCTTTCTAACATCCTGTGACTTCATCTTTTAATGCTGTGAGCACAGTTCAGCCAACATCAGACTTCAGGGCACTATCCAGGCTGGTAAACCACATGGCAGCCGCAGAGCACAGAGAGCTCCCCGCACACGCTGGCCTCCACAGTCACGACTGTAGAATCAATTGTCATTGATTCACACATAAATTGCAGCATCCTCTTCAACAAATTGGATAATTGCAGGTGCTAAAATGGACCACAAGAAGAAGGGAAGGATATCTTTATTCTGCTCGTCTTACCTTTTCAAAATATTTGATCTCATACTCCAGGATGATTCCATTGGGGCGATCGGGTTCTTGCCAAGACAAAGAGATGCTGTTTTTTCCAATCTTCCCCTTTTTCACATTGGTGACTGGCGAGGGGGCTGAAAAAAATATATAAATGTAAAAGTGGCATGAGTCATAAGGCCTGGAAATTAGACCCTTCTCTGTGTATTTTTATTTATATATATTCACATTCTTAGACTGTATCATTATATCATTAGAAAAATACCAAACAATTACCTTTTCTCTTAACTTATAGCAATTTTTTTACATTCTCTATATAATATTATAAAGATTGTGAAGTTTTTACAAATATAGATCAGCTAAATATCCTGAGGATTTTCTCATAAGATGTAGTCCACATTTTCTCCATATAGTTTAGAAGTACAAATGATTTTGTATTTCATAGAATAAGGGTGTCCTAGCTGACCTTATTTTTCTTCTATATTCCTAAAACTTATGGAGTCTGCATTGTATATTCCATTATACTGACAGACCCATGAAGACACATAATTATTCTCTTATCTCCACAATATTAAGACTCCTCAATAATTCATTATTTTTGAGATCACGCAGGTGCGACATTCACTAATAAATTCATATATGAAATATAGTAGGGGCTTTCTTTAAAAAATGTCATTAAATGTGTGGTACATCTTAATAACAGCTAGAAGAAAGTTTTCCTTCATTTTCATTTTGCCCATTTATTTCATTCGAAGTCGTAAACACTTGGGTCTTCATGTCTATCTGGCATGGTGTCTATTAAACTATCTATGTCTTTACTAAAAATTGAAATACTAATTATCTGTTTGGATTTTTTTAGTGCACAAAGCATTTGTCTACTTGAGTCAAAGTCGTTTTATCAATCTGAGATGTTCTGAGTTAGGAACATCTAATGTTCAGGAAACACAGCAACATACAGGTGTGAGCTGTGGGCTCCCTAATTCCTTGCATGCTTGCAGCAAAAGAAGAGGTGTACAAGAAGAATTAACAGTAACAGACAAGGAAATCAGTGGATTTTTGTAATGTATTTTGTTCAGTAATGAATGTCATTTTTTCTTTTACTTCTCTGTCTCAGGATGCTGGGGCAGTGCACACGTGTTGGCTCCAGGCGTAACTTTTGTACAGTTTGAGTTGAGGTTGTCACTGCATCCATCCCCAGACAGTGAGCATTACGTTACTTTTGTACAGTTTGAGTTGAGGTTGTCACCGCATCCATCCCCAGACAGTGAGCATTACGTTACTTTTGTACAGCTTGAGTTGAGGTTGTCACCGCATCCATCCCCAGACAGTGAGAATCGACCTGTTAGGTGTGAATTCACCCAGCGCCTCCCGCCCTTTCACCTGCTCTGCTCCCACTGAATTTTACCACCATATGTGCCCATGTGTGGTGATCATTAGCTTCTCATTTAAAAGTGACCTCGTGTGGTGTTTGTTTTTCCATTCTTGTGATACTTCCCTCAGGAGGATGGTCTCCCTTCCCACCCAGGTCGTTACAAAAGGCATTATTAGTTCTCCATTTTATTACGGCTGAGCCAGGGGTCCTCAAACTTTTTAAACAGGGG